CGAAACCTAATTTTGCCTATCCTTAATGATCAACCTCCTTTAGTGCATACAAACTCACTAATTTGATATAGTCGTTGGCATCAATGATGGCCATAATTTTAGCATTTATGCCTCGGTTGTTCATAAGTGTTTGAAATTGGGTAGTCAGGTTTTGGCGTATTTTTGTCGACTCAGTCAGATCAAGTGCCAATGGTCCAACGAGCTGGTTCCCGGTGTTGATAATTTGGTCAGCTGCAGTGGAGTTCGCCACACTCCAGGTCCTTGCGAATGAGAGAAGATCATTGCCAAATATAACTAACTCGCTGGGGCTTGGCCAAGTTTTGGTGAGAGTGTCTATTGAGGGCTGATAGAGATAAAAAAGAAAAATTTAAAAAGAAATGCACAGCGAATTTCTCTTTTAAGTGGTCATACTTTGAGAGCAAGCAATAAGTATAGAATAATAAACATGTTCTGGTTAATTAAAAATCACAACTGAAGGCAGTCTTTGCATATATTCTACAGGGCCAGTTATGTGAATAAATCCTCACCAATGACGATGGCTAAGTTCAAAGCATGCTAGTTAGCAAGTTAGCTAAGCAGAAGGGATGGGGAGCAAGATGGTATGGCCTTTAGTATGGTCGTGGTTTCAATTCGTTATAAAGAAGTTGTTTCAACTTGTTTTCGCATCTTGATCTAAAGGTGAATAAATTGTCAGTAGTCAGTAGTATGCACCATATTTTCCAGATTTTGACTGTGGACTTGATGCATTTCCAGGCGTTTCGCCAACATTGTAGCCGGCATTGTCACTGCGCCTTGTCATTGTTAGCACCCCACTACAACTCGTCAAAGAGACAAAGGAAGTCGGTCCTTTGATCGATTTTCTTCAAAAGAGTTATGGTATCTCTCCTACTGTCCTGGGGCATTCATCTATCCCATATCCTCGTAAATCTCCTTCACAATCACAATTTCGTACTTGCTTATTTAAACCAGATCCAGGTGTGTCCTTTTTAGCGAATTCGATGCGACCAATTCACATTCCCTCGAACTATGCTGGGAATGTTCAGCAAAGTTTGCTCTTTTAGTGCTCAACCCTCTTCCTCAAGGTCCTATGAAAGTCTCCTTCCTGCGCCGTAGAATCCCTCTCTTATCTGCTTAGTAGAGTGATTTTACCCCCTCACTTTCACAATATACCTGCTTCTTGATTCATTATGTTCTACGCTCTTCCTCAAGTCTTTGCTAGCACTTATACTCCTGCCTCACTAAACAGGCCGCCAAAGTCTGGATTCTTAATTGACATGGAAACTAACTTTACTATTTTTGGGAAACTTTTATTTTGTATGAAAGTGCAGGAAGAAGAAAATCGAAGGTCGATCTCACCAGAAGATGACGACAGAATCTCGTTTTACGGCTCGTTTACACGCTCCACGAGGCTTCTTCTCTCGTTTAGGACAAGTTGGATAGTCTTCTTGACCTAGTGTTAACATAAGACTTTTACATGAATGAGTTTCAGCTTTGATGATGCCCATCATATACTGAACTAAAGTTCAGCCCGTTTTCACCTGAAACGAGGGAGGAAGTCTCGTGGAATATGTCTGCCTGAACGGGGCATTAAACAGCTTTAGTAAAACGGGATTCAGCCGTCCTCTTCTAGTGAGATCGACCTTCGAATTTCTTCTTCATACACTTTCACATTAAATCAAAGTCGCTTCAACAATATTATCTCAGGAGATTCATCGAAACCCATTTATTTTTCGTGACTTGACTCTGCAGATTCCCTTATCAATGTGCAGCATATGCACCATGTAAATCTTTTGGTCAAATCTTTACTTCATGGACCATGTCCATGATCAGACCCGTCAACTATTAGCCAGCTGGCCCTGGTCGCCAGCGCATCTCTCGTGCTTCCATATATAACGCCAAATCGATGACTTTCTTATTCTACTTATTCTACTTGGTTTAAGTAGGCTCACTGTAGACGTCTCGTCTTGGTTTCCGATTA